TTTTGAAATCTTAACACATCATTTTCAATCACGAACCCGTGCCTCGATTTTGAGTCAATTTCATCAAAAATTTTCTTCCAGAACTCATCTTCATGTTGTTTCTCTTTAATCTCTTCAATGATTGCAGGTTGAGTAGAAATGGTGGCTAAGATCCCGCCCTATTCCCACAGTACAATTTCAATTTCATTATTTTCTAGATCATATATTAACTCCTTTTGACCAGTGAGTAAGGATGACAAATTACCCATGGATTCCCGGCTCAAGGCATCTGCAATGGTATTGGCTTTTCCCGGATGGTACAAGATTTGCAAGTTGTAATCCTTGATTAACTCAAGCCACCGTCTCTGTCTTATGTTCAACTCTTTTTGAGTGAAGAAATATTTGAGACTTTTATGATCTGTATATACTTCACAAGTTACTCCATACAGATAATGGCGCCAAATTTTCAAAGCAAATACCATAGCTACTAATTCAAGGTCATGGGTTGGATAGTTCTTTTCATGAGGGTGAAGTTGTCGAGAAGCATAAGCAATCACTTTTCCATTTTACATTAACACACACCCCAAGCCTTTATAGGACACATCACTATAAATTTGAAATCCATCAGTACCATTAGATAAGGTCAAAATTGGTGCAATTACTAACCTAGTCTTTAACTCTTGGAAAGCAGTCTCTCTTTGATTAGTCTAATCAAACGGCATAGTTTTCTGTGTCAATTGTGTGAGTGGCAAAACAAGTTTGAAGAAATCTTTCACAAATCTACGATAGTAGCCTGCAAGTCCCAAAAAACTTCGAACTTTCGATACATTTGTTGGTCTAGGCTAGTCCACAATAGCTTCAATTTTCTGTGGGTCAATGGAGATACCATTCTTGTTGATTACATGCCCCAGAAATGCCATACTGTCAAGCCAAAATTCACATTTGAAAATTTTTGCATATAGCTTCTTCTCCCTTAGGGTTTGTAAAGAAATTCTCAAATGATTCTCATGTTTTTCCCTGCTTTTAGAATAAATCAATATATCATCGATAAACACAACAATAAACTCATCAAGGAATTGTTTGAACACTATTCATTAAGTCCGTGAATGTTACAGGTGCATTAGTTACCCCAAATGGCATGACTAGGAATTCATAATGTCCATATCTAGTTCTGAATGCAATTTTCTCTACGTCTTCTATCTTGACCTTTAACTGGTGATACCCAGATCTAAGGTCAATTTTAGAAAACACTTAGGCTTCTTGAAGTTGATCAAACGGGTCATTTATTCGGGGTAGTGAGTACTTATTCTTGACAGTTACTTTATTCAACTCTTGGCAATCAATACATAGTCTCAAAGACCCGTCTTTCTTTTTGATGAATAACACTAGGGCACCCCAAAGTGTAGTGCTCGGGTGGATAAACTTCTTGCCTAATAGTTCTTAGAGTTTGAGTCTTTAATTCTTTCAGTTCAGAAGTGGACATTCTCTATGGGGTCTTGGAGATAGGTTGTGTTCCAGGTACTACATCAATAGTAAACTCAATTTCCCTATTAATTAAGTCCCCAGGTAGGTCAGTAAGAAATACATCAGGAAACTCACGGACTATAGGTATCGTTTCCACATTAGTGCTATCTGAAGATACAGTTAATACACAACACAAGTAGCCCCGACAACATTTCCTTAACTATTTCCTAGCTTTCATAATTGAGATCAAATATGGTAGAGAAACTATCCCATTTCTAGTAAAAATAAACTCAGGCATACCAGGTGGTCTAAATACAACAGATTTACTCACATAGTCGATGGTGGCACAGTATTTAGTCAACCAATCCATACCCAGAATACAATCAAAATAATCAATGTTTAAGGGCAATAAATCAACGCACAATGTCATGTCACCAATCATAATATCACATGATGAATAAACATAAGCACATATCATAGAATCCCAAGTCGGTGTAGCCATAGATAGTAAACAGTTCATGGGTTCTAATGATCTAGCTAATTTTCGAGAAAAAGCATGCGATACAAATGAATACATGGAACCAGAATTAATCAGTACATAGGCATTCTGAGCACATATAGAGATTATACCTGATACCACTGACTCAGTGTTCTGTACATTCCCAGGCGCTAATGCAAGGACTCGGCCTTGTCTCAAAGTTTCTCCTCCAGTATTGGCTCTTACATTGGTTATTGGTGCAGGAGCAGACCCGGCTGAACTTGTCACTGGACGGGTAGTCGTGTTGAGTCTCATTGGACAATCTCTAATCATGTGATCTGTCTTGCCGCATCGGAAACAAGCACCAGATGCACGGTGACACATGCCCTTATGCTTCCTTCCACATTCGGGACAAACTAACATAGACCCACTATTTTGACTTGAACAACTTGAAGACCCAATATTTTGCTTCTTCAAAAATGATCGACCTTTCTTGAAATTGAATTTGGCCCTTTTACCCCTCCATTCACTTGTTGGAATTGTAACGTGTTTCTTTGCTGCTAGTATGGCCTCTGCCATCAATGCCCTATCAAGTACCTCCATATAGGTAGGCAATTTCAATACACTTACTCGATCATACATATCTAGGTCTAAGCCCCTTTCGAATTTTCGGACCTTCTTATAATCTGTATCGACCATATGAGGAGCAAATCTGGCCAACTTGGTAAACTTAACCTTATACTCGACTACAAACATCCTGCCTTGCTTCAATTCTTGAAATTCAGAAACTTTCCGATCCTGAAAATACTGAGGAAAATACTTGTCATAGAAGGTCACATTAAATTGAGCCCATGTCATATTCCCATTGCTATTCCGGATCAATAACCACCATCTTCAGGCTTTGTCTTTCAGGGTGTAGGTGGCCAAAAAGACTTTTTGGATCTCTGAACAAGGAAACACTTTGAATAATTTCTTCATTTCCAACAACCATGTTTTAGCCTTTAATGGTTCAATACCACCAAGGAAAGTCGACGGTTTCATCTTCATGAATTTTTTAGTGAGGTTGATTATATCATTGTTTTCTGGTTCAATTTGCACCGACGGAGGTGGAGGTGGTAAAGGTTGTTGCCTCAATTGTTGTGTCATTGCTTCGGTCAAGGCTGTAAGCATCTGTTCTATTCTGTTCATTCAGGCCTCAAAAGATTCACTTGTATCATTTCCCTTTGCCTTCTCCATGTTGCTATAAAGAGACAAGATAATAATAAGCATAGGAATAATCTTGTTCATTTTTTTACATTTCATTTGTTTAAGTTCAAATTAGCATACACTCACACATGCAGATGAAATGTCACTAATTCTTTTCTAGGACATCATCTAGCTTGTATGGACTTGTGTGTGTGGTATTACACGTGCCCTAATACCACTCTGTCATGATCCAAACATGCCCCTATAGGTTTAGAGTCGTAACCGGCCAGTAATCATTGGATTACCAAAGGTCTCTTAACAGAATGACACATGATAAGGGGCTGCAGAAGCAATTATAGAATTACACATTGTCCATAGAGCTGTGATAACGTATATAAGACGAAAATTTTCAAAACAAACTTATATATAAATATATATAAATGTGACGTCGTAAATACATTAGTCTTACGCCACCCATATGCACAGATGTAATCAAAAAGGAAACTTATCTCTATATACAGATAAGCAAAAACAAACTACAAAACATCTTTGTCAGGTTCACAAAACTTGACTTCTTCAAAAAGGGAACCTCCCCGGGAGGCACAGTGGTTGGCTGACTCAACACTCCAGGCAACAACTTAGGCCTAGTCACGCGCTTGCTCACCTACATACATAAAATAAATAGTGAGCGAGAGTCTAGTGAATAATAACAGAGTAAAGGGTTTTAATGAACGATGTCCATGATAGATTCAGAAATCAGAGTTCATATCAGATATAGATTTATAATCATGTTCTTGTTCAAACTACATACAGAAACTAGAGTTCATGCTTAATGATACATGGTACATCCATTAGCGTTAACATACTTGTTAGTTCCTTTGAGGAACCCCCGGTATCGGAAACTTGTAACTTGCTTGAACCACGATATTATTATCCACGGACAAGGGCCTTGAAAACCACGGTATTATTACCCCCGGGCAAGGGCCGTGGGAACTACGGTATTATTACCCCCGAGCAAGGGTCTTATACTTGTAAACTATGGTATTATTACCTTCGAGCAAGGGCCTTATGCTAAGGATGCCACAAATACATTTTAGAAATTTAGACAATCATTCATTCATACAAAACATCGTATTTTAGAAAATTGTTCATTTCATAGCATCAAAAAATAATTAAAGTTAAACATAACTTTACAGAGTTATTACTCACAGATGGCTCCACTTGCAGAACAGACAAATCAGATAACTTGTGGCGCGTGACCTACACACATATAGCATAAACATATAATGAAACACACACTTTGTTGATACTTAACTTCTTTTGTTTTATTCTTAGTGTGTTCCTAAGTTTTAACCTCTTATTGAGTTTTACTCGTGGCCTAGGAATGCTTAGGATGCAATGTGGATGCCAAAATGCATTCCAAAACCCTTAACATAACTTGTTGAAAACAAGGGTCCCGCTCGAGCGTAACACCCCTCGCTCGAGCGGACATGCAAATATGTACGGGTCCGCTCGAGCGCAATTTTATTCGCTCGAGTGGTCTGCAAACTTAGAAAAGTTACTGGTTGTGTGATTTTCACTCTTGGCGGACGCTCGACGGTCGCTCAAGCGTGAGACTTAAGACCTCACTCAAGCGCAAATCTTGTCGCTCAAACGGTTTGCAAAAACATGAAAGTTCTGGGAGCTCGCATTTCATGACATGCATGTGATGAATTAGGGTCAAAAGGTAAGAAATGTGATGAATTCTTAAAACCATGTTAAGATAGACACATGCATGTAAAAATTCTTTAGAATTCTACTCAAAACACCATGATATATGCATGCATGCATGATATGGTTCAATTCTCTTCATTCTTAGTTCAATTCTTGCATTATCCATCATAATTCTCTAGAGTTCATGTCTTACACTTCATAATTGTTCAGCCTAAGGGTTGAATTTTTACCTAGGCTTGTCAAGATAAGAGCTAGAAGCTTGATTCTTGAGTTTCTAAGTCCAATTTCTTCAATTCCTTGCAAGTCCTTTGGTTAAACTCAAATCTCTCATTTCTCTCCCTCTCTCACGTTTGTTTGCTTGTGTAGGCTCAAAGTGTATTGAAATGAAGGAAAAAGGTTGAGTGGTGGTACAATTACTGCCTTATATAGGTTTGGATAATAGTATAATTAAATTGTTGACCAAACTAATCAAGTAGACATTAAACTATTCTAATTTAATCGTTCCGAATTGAATTTTAATTAAACTTACCATAATGTTCTAAAAATTCCAACTAACACATAAATCAAGTCAATTTCATGATCAGATGCTGATAGGGCCTTCAATTCGCAAAACGAAACAGAAACGGAAATTGATATTTCTACGATAAACAGATATAAATACAATCATGCAACACACACATGCAATTAATTCAGAACTTCACCTTAATTACTGATTAGACTTATTTAATCTTGTATTAACGTTAATTAAAGGTCGGGGTTGTTACAGGAAGTGTGGAGCTTACTATTTAGATTTTGTCTCCAATTCTTCTCAATTCAACACGTATTTGGATAGTTTTGCAATTATGTGTACATTGTTAATCCTCAAGACAGTGAACTATTAAATCTCATTCCTTGGAATCTTCCCAATACAATCCAATGGTTGTAAATAATCCTTCAAATCTTATCTTATATATCTTTTACTCTGCATTAACCAAACAATGTGGTGGTATTCAAAATTTCAAACTAGCTAGCTAGTCTAATCGTGACATTCTATGAGAGCCCAAGTAATGAACTTGGTGAAAAGCTTCATAACAAGATCAAATTATATGTAAGTAAACTCTTTTAGATTTTATTTCTTTTTGATAGTTCTATAACTAATAAATTATTGCTGTGTTTTTTGTTTCACTATTAAGTATAAAAAAAAACTCATAATTTTATCAATCTTTGAATTTCATGTGCCCACAGACTATTAACCCAAAATCGCCAGTTGAAGGCTCTTAGGGGGTTAGTCATTTAGGGACACGGGTATCGGAGCATCCGAGGTTTGAGACTTGTTTATGTTTCATTCATTCTTGAAGTTCTTTCATGGTGTAGTATATTTTGAAAATGTTTATTAAGTCCAGTCAAAGTGAACTTTTAAACAGCAAGTTGTCAATATTAAGATTAGAGCAATGCTATGTATCATGAAAATAATCATGAAAGTTTTGTGACCCTTGGATTACACTTAGAATAAAGCACCACGCACTAATCAAGGTAATTCAAAGATCATAGCACTTTCATGATCATTTTCGTGAAAAAATTTTCATGATCCCTAACTTTTCTCTTAAGATTAAGAGGACAAAAACCATTCATAGTCCTGTTTGGCTTCCACAAAAAAATGGGGCGGTAGAGTCATTATTATCTTCGACTGAACAAAAAAATTGGACCTTACTGGCCGTAGAAATCGCTGAAACAAAGTCAATTTGAGATGTATGCATATTTGCTAGAGATGTTATTCATCTTTTGACAAATTTGGTCTTGATCCTACAAAGCATATAAATCAAGAACAGAAAGCAAAAAAAAGAAGAAAGTTTCCGACTTGGAAAACTAAAGCTATTATAACACATGATACGAACAAAAGTCTGATTGGGCATAATAGCAATCAATCCTGTCGTGAAGGCGATACCAGTTGAAGACAGTGCAATATGTGTTAGCATAGTGGCACTAGCAAAGTAGTAAAAATAGTTTTCTTTGGCAATAATAGCTCCCCAGAAGAGTATGCAAGCTATAACCACAGAGCTGCTCATAGCAATGGAGTCCGAAACAAGGAACCATTTAAGGTATGGGCTCGATTGCAGAAGAGCTTGCCCTTGATCGGGGCCAACGTTGTTATTGAAGCCTCCGGGAATTGTGAAAGCAGCTGCAAATGTGAAGGTGGCGATTAGTGTGGCAACCATTAAGAGGGTGTGACCCATTTGCTTGTAAGTTCTCATTTTGTCAATAGTTGCTACTCCGTCCTCGATTGTGTTTGGGGAAATGTTTTATCTGGTGATCCATGTATTCTAGGACCAACATTGTCTCCAAATTCCTGAAGTCTAGATACAAAATACAAAGATAACCATGAGTATGATGCCATTCACCTTTATAATTACAGTTGCAAGTGAACAGAACTTTATTAGAGTTAGCGAACCGAGCTGAGTTTGAGCTAGAGCTAGATTTTTGAGCTCAATAAACAGACAAGCTCGGGTCAACTCATTTGCATCCTTATTTGTAATGCATACTTTTTGTACCTAGTAATGGTATGTGCAAACAATCAAATAAAATTGGGAATAAGATTCTCTCCAATCCACTAGTGCAGTTTGGGCCAGTTGGCTAATCACAGGTCCACTCTTGTAATCGAAGTTGTTCATATTGTGAGTCTATGTGTGTAGATCATCCCTACAAAAATCAGATTGTTTTGATAATTGTAACCAAATGATTTTACCTTGTTTGTATTTAGAAAAAAAATGGACGATAATTATGATTTTAAAAATAAACCATTGTCATTCATTTTATTTAATACAAACATGATAAAATCATGAATGTACAATTGTCGGGTCAATTTTTATTTTTCAGAAATGACTAGACTGTGGTGAATCTCACAAACCTAACTGGATGCTCCAATCTACTTTTGTTGACTGGTGAGAAGCCTCTCCCAAAAAAATTAATGTACCTAACTAAATATTTACATAAAAGAAATTATAAACACTACATATATAATTACCACTGGAAATCTCAAGTATGGCTCTGTACTTGACTCATTGTTGATGGATTTTTGGCCAATGTTTTTCTTGGCTCTTTGATCTACTCTATCATCCCACATTAAATAACGTGCTATCCAACTTTTTCCTTCTATGGTAGCCAAGTGTAAGGGTGTGTTTCCATCATTATCAGCTTGGTTTATAAGCCCTTCAAGCTCTGTTGTTTCTAAAATGTGCCTAACCACACCTAATTTTCCACCTAAGACAGCAATGTGAAGATTGTTTTGGCCTCTCAAGTCCAACAATTCTCCAGAATCGGGGCAATATCGACTGATCTCTTTAATTATATTTGTATGGACTCTATATGCTGCAACATGAAACGGTGATAGGCCCTCTTTATTGGACATGTATGCTATGTCAGTGTCAAGTTGAAGTAATCCTTGAACTGTCCTGTGGTCTCCCATAAATGCTGCGCAGTAGAGCGGGGTTATACCATGGTGATCGGCTTCTTTGATTAGTTTTGGGTTTGCTCTTACAAGGGCTTCAATGACATCTAAATGACACATATAAAGGAAGCTTGATTATGAACAGAACCAGATACACTGGTGAAATGTACATTGTTATGAAATCATATAGTTAGTCCTTTACTCGAGGTAAGTTGCATTCTTGTTGAATAATTTTTAGTAAATTACACCAGTGGTCCCTTCAGTTTGCCCCTTGTATTGTATCGATTTGATCCCTATAGTTTTATTTGAATCAATTTTGACCTTGAATTTTTCATATTATGTCAAATTAGTCTAATTGGTAACAATCCTTTAGAAATTGGACCGAAATCAAAGACCAAACCAATTTGTTCACAACTCCAAAAGTGATTGAGTGGTTACTGTCCAATTTAAATGGTCCATTCCCTTTTGGATTGGCCATTTTACCCATGATTTTTGTCAAAATTATTAGCAAATGTTATCAATTTGGTTAAATGAGAAAACATGAAAACTTGGAGGGCAAATTTAATGCAATTAAAACTATAGGGATTGAATTGACACAAGAGACAAATTACACGGACTACAGATAAAATAGGCCAGCCCAGGATTAACCTTCATAAAAAACTCAGCCACTCTGAGATTATGGTTCTTCACAGCCTCATGCAAAACTGTGTTGCCCCATTTATTTCTCATCCTCAGAATCTCAGTCTCTCTGTTTCCTCTGTTTTCAATGTCTCCATAAGATGAAGATAACATCTCGTTGACTAGAAAACTAACAATGGAGATGCGGCCAGCTCTTGCAGCAACATGTAGAGGCGTGTCTCCGTCCAAGTTCGGCTGAGCAAGGAGGGGCTGCTTGTTGGAGGTGACCCCATGTGAAAGGGGTGATCCTCATGCTGCAGGCCAATTATTGTTCCAACTCCATGCAAGCAAAGGAAGGACTTCCACCACAGGTGAAGTGAAGATCTAAGCTGGGCACTTCTCCATTCTCTTCCCGTTGTAGCCATTGTTGACTCTCACCATTAAAGAATGTAGAAAATGGTGGTGAGTTTGTCTCCTCTCCCTCACTCTCTGTGTATAAATAGAGACGGAAGGGAGAGAGGGTGATTTGTATCAGAAAAGAGAGAGTTGTGAGAAGTCTATGAGAGCTTTGAGTTGAGTTGAGTAGAGAGAGTGAGATACTCCTCATCTGTTTTGTATTTTGCTCCATTTTAGTGAAAATTCTCATTTCTGTCCGTTGATGTAGACATTAGGCCGCTCCACGTAAATATTGTATTCTCTGTGTGTGTGACATAAATTTTTGGGTGTTTGATCCTAACAAAGTGGTATCAGAGCTGGTTGAGTCTTTTTCAAAAAAACAAAGTCCATTTTTCAGAAATGCCCAGAAATCAAAGTGGTCGAAATCACTTTTGATCACACCACCTGAAAGCCCTTGACGAGACGAGCACAACGGTGAAAACCGTGTAAAAAACGGAGAACGGACGTCCTCGCACGCGCCACACCCGCTATGTGACGCCGTTCCCACGTGCTCCCACCCTCACACGCGCCAAACACGCTTCCAGAGGAAGAAGACGCGCGATTTCACGTGCAGACACGTGCCACACGTGCGCGCGCCAGACGACGTCATCCGCTGACATCACCCAAGCCGAACCGCCAGCCGACGCCGAGCTGGAGCCGATGACTAGCCGCGCCACTGACCAAACCGTTGACTCAGCTGCTAACGTCGCCTGATGCCAGCCAAATCGGAGAAATAATCTGGTGCTTCTCAGGCGCTCCAGAAGTCACCGATCTGAATCGTTCAACTTGTTTTGGCTTTATCTAAGCCATTTGAGGTCTGATTTGGGTGATCTAATAGTGCTTTCCAACTAATTGGAATATTTTGGGCACATCCGTATGGCCAGATTTTGCAAATTAGCTTTCAAAAATTTACAGTTTTTATTTTGGCAATCCGAAGTACTTTTCCGGCTAATTTGATCAGTCCGGACTTAATGACGAAGTTGATGGAGGAATCCACATCAATTTCAGGGCTGATGATTCGGTTGAACGCTTCTAATTATGCGATATGGAAGCCGCGGATGGAGGACATCCTGTATTGTAGAGACTTGTTTAACCCTATAGCGCTAAAGGGGGTTAAACCAAATGGAGACAAGGATGAGGACTGGATAAAAACCAACCAAAAGACTGTCGGTCAAATCAGACAGTGGATTGACCATAGTGTGTTCCACCATGTCGCCCAAGAGACGGACGCCTATGTCCTATGGATGAAATTAAAGGACATATACCAGTCCAAGACCGCGCAGAACAAAGCCTTGATAATGAGAAGGCTTATAAACCTCAAACTGAAGAGTGGTGTGTCTGTTGTTGAATACACCAGTGAATTCCACAGCCTTGTGAACCAGCTTGCATCAGTCAAAATGGAGTTGGAGGATGAGATGCAAGCATTATTATTACTCAGTTCCTTACCAGACAGCTGGAAGACGTTGGTGGTTTCTCTCAGTAATTCTGCACCCGAAGGGAAGCTAACCATGGGGATGGTCACAAACGCCTTATTCAGCGAGGAGGCAAGGAAGAGAGAGATGAGAGGAGAGCAGTCCCAAGCCCTTGTCACAGAAAGTAGAGGCAAAGATAGAGAAAGGGGCAGAGGTAGAGGAAGAAGTAAAAACAGAGGGCGTTCACAGTCCAGACAGGACAATATGAGGAGGTGCATTTACTGTGATCAAGAGGATCACGTAATAAGAGATCGCCTAGAGAAAAAGGCGGACAGACAAGCCAAAGAGAAGGCCAAGGGACACGGAGGTCCCTCAACTACAGCAGTTACAGTGAATTCCTCTGACGATGAAGATGTGATGTTTACAGTCTCGTCAGAGTTGGAGACACCCGGCTGGATTTTGGATTCAGGGTGTACGTTCCACATATGTGCAGATAGGAAGCTTTTCTCCACTTACCGAAGAGTCAGCGGTAACATTATCCAGATGACCAACAACACAGTGAACAGAGTAGTTGGCATAGGGACAGTGCGGTTCCTTACTAAGGATGGAAGAAAAGTGGTTTTATCTGAGGTCCGACATGTGCCAGGAGTACGGAGGAATCTAATCTCCCTGAGTATTCTAGATCTAAAAGGAAATTGTTTCTCATCTAGTGGCGGGTTCTTCATGTACACAGAGGCGATAGAGAAATGTTGCAAGGCAAGTTGTGCAACAAACTATACAGACTGGAAGGAGAAGTTTTGACAAAGATGAGTGTTGTCAAACGCCAGTCGAAGGGTACAAAAGGAGAACATACACAACCAAAGCATATGACTAAGCAAGGCTTTCATCAGGAATGGCAAAAAAGGTGCACGAGAACGCAAGGAGGCAGTTCGAAGGTGCACAGATCTGAGCCAATGATGCCAATCTTGAAGGAAGTTCAGAGCAAAGAAACCAAGTCGATAGAGACTGTGCCAGTGAAGAATAAAGTTTCTTTTGCTCCTGTGTTAGAGACATTTTGCAACCTCTCAAAAGATGCATGGAAGGGAGGGATGCAATCTTGAGTCGCAAAGTGAGCTTTGCACGACACCCCAATAAGGGGGTGCAAGCACTATGCACGGAGTTGCATAGTGGTAGCTTGTATAGACCAGTGGAAGATGTCTTGGCAGAATGGCTAACTGTCAAACATCAGTACAGACATACAAGTGAGACAGAACCGAACATCAGGGATTGCAGCACAGACAATAGGCGTATGAGATCGCTGGGAAGTTGGTCTGAAGTGCAGAAAGCAAAGGCTGGTTGTTCAGAAATAAGCTCTGAGCAAGGAAAATTGAGGATGTTGATATGTCAAACTCTGAAGTTTTCTAGTTGCTCCCGTGTTCATCATGCAAGGAGTTGCACGGCAATACAGGGTATCCCGAGCAGGGGGTGCAAGGCATCCAATCAGGGGGTGCTGGATACCTTGGCAGCAGGTTTTGTTACGGATCACCTCACATGGGCTGAGGGGGTGATTGTTGGAGGTCACCCCATGTGAAAGGGATGATCCTCATGCTGCAGGCCAATTATTGTTCCAACTCCATGCAAGCAAAGGAGAGAGTCAATGAAGGATGGCGTGCAAGGACTTCCACCACAGGTGAAGTGAAGGTCTAAGCTGGGCACTTCTCCTTTCTCTTCCCGTTGTAGCCATTGTTGACTCTCACCATTAAAGAAGGTAGAAAATGGTGGTGAGTTTGTCTCCTCTCCCTCACTCTCTTTGCGTATAAATAGAGACGGGAGGGAGAGAGGGTGATTTGTATCAGAAAAGAGAGAGTTGTGAGAAGTGTATAAGAGCTTTGAGTTGAGTAAAGAGAATGAGATACTCCTCCTCTGTTTTGTATTTTGCTCCATTTTAGTGAAAATTCTCATTTCTGTCCATTGATGTAGGCATTGGGCCGAACCACGTAAATATTGTGTTCTCTGTGTGTGTGAGATAATTTTCTGGGTGTGTTTGATCCTAACACTGCTGCCGATTGTAAATCTCAGCAACAATGTTTTTGTGTCCTAACTATGTGGCGATATGAAGTGGTGTGTTTTCATGAGGTGTTAGTTTTAGAAGTAGGTTTGGATTTTCATTGAGGAGTTGTTTGAAGTGAAGAATGTGTCCTGATTTTGCAGAGTTGTATAGTCTCTGATCCATTGTGAGTTTCTAGTAAGGCACTAATATTTGGATTAATGTAGAGATGGTTTTATAAGTTTGTTTTTAATCTTTTATGTTTGTTCTAAAATGTCATTACATTGCCCCCCAGAGTTTATAATGTTTGATGCCATTATTTAGGTGTCGTTGACTTGGACAAAGTTGCCAGTTGGCATTTGTCTGAAGTAATTAAATCATCTCCAATCCTAACCTTTTTTGCTTTTTCATCAAATTTGATTGAAAATTTGATTACCAACTTCAATCTTTACTCTCTTTTTTTATCATCTGTGGTTTTTCCATCCTAATTTCTTATTCTTTTTTTTCTTTTTCTTTTTTTAATTTTAAATTTAATCAAATTTGAGTAAAAATATGACTGTTGAAAAATGATAAAAGATTTGGTTCATCCTTAATTTGATAAAAAAAAAAAAAAATTATCATTCCCTAAAATTGATTTGGAATAGATGAAATGGTTGGAGTAGGGTTTTAGCATTTTTTTTTACTAAATTTGAATTTGATGAAGAATTAGAGATGCTGTTAGATGGGTCTAGATTGGACTAGGAGACATGTGGAGCTCACTATCTAGATTTTGTCTCTCAATTATTCTCAATTCGACATGTATTTGGATACGTTTACAGTCCTTAATTTGATAAAAAAAAAAAAAATTATCATTCCCTAAAATTGATTTGGAATAGATGAAATGGTTGGAGTAGGTTTTTAGCATTTTTTTTTACTAAATTTGAATTTGATGAAGAATTAGAGATGCTGTTAGATGGGTCTAGATTGGACTAGGAGACATGTGGAGCTCACTATCTAGATTTTGTCTCTCAATTATTCTCAATTCGACATGTATTTGGATACGTTTACAGTCTTGTCTAGATTGTTGTGAATTATTGAATCTCATTTTTTTGAATCGTCCCAATAAAATCCAACGGTCACAAACAATCCGTCAAATATTATCTTATTTTTTACTCAGCCATAATCAAACAATGTGGTGGTGGTATTCAAAATTTCAAACTAGCTAGTTTAATCATGATGTTCAAGCATCGGAGTATCCCAGGTTTGAGACTTGTTTATGTTTCATTCATTCTTGAAGTTCTTGAATGGTGTAGGTTATTCTGAAAATGTCTATCAATTCCAGTCAAACTATACTTTTAAACTGGAAGTAGTCATTATTAAGAGCACAAAAAAAATATTCATAGTCCTCTTTGGCTTCTACAAAAATACAAAAAAATGGAGCAGTAGTGTCATTATCTCCCATAAGTCTTCAAATTTGAAAATTTGTCAGAATAAAAAAACCCAACTCTGATGCACACCGTACATTGATGGTTTGGATCATGTAGAGTTGGATCGAAATCATGGATTCAAAGATCGAATCACAGATTCCAATAGTTTTTCTTTGTTGATTTACATGGAATGATCAATTTGGGATTATGCATATTTGCAAGAGTTCATCTTTTGATGAATTTAGTCTTGAGCCTACGTAGGCGAAAAATCAAGAACTGACAAACTTCCCCTGAAGAAAAAATCTGTGCCAACCGGAAAAAAAACAGGAAGTTTCCGACATGGAAAAGTGACCCTATTATACGACACATGATGCGAACAAATGGTTGATTGGGCATAATAGCAATCAAGCCAGTTGTGAAGGCGACAGCAGTTGAAAACAGTGCAACATGTGTAAGCACAGTGGCACTAGCAAAGTAGTAGAAATAGGTTTCTTCGGCAATAACAGCTCCCCAGAAGAGTATGCAAGCTGCAATCACAGAGAAACTCATAGCGATGGAGTCCGAGACAAGGAACCATTTAAGATGTAGGCTTGATTGCAAAAGTGCCTGCCCTTGATCTGGGCCAACGTTGTTGTTGAAGCCTCCGGGAATTGTGAAAGCAGCTGCAAATGTGACGGTGGCAATTAGTGTTGCTACCATTAAGAGGGTGTGACCCATTTGCTTGTAAGTTTCCATTTTGTCAGCAGCAGCAGCAGCAGCTGCAGCTGCAGCTCCCTCCTTGCTTGTGCTTGGGGGAATCTTTTCTTTGGTGGTCAATGTATTTAGGGACCAAGGTTGTCTCCAATTTTTTGATTTCTAGATGCATAATACAAAGATAACTGTGAGAATCCGTGCAAAAAATTAAGTTGATGGAACATCAATAGCCAAACAACACCTCTCGGTGATCCAACTGAAGAGAAGCCATCTCCAAAATCAATGTACCTAATTAAACAGTTAATTATATGAACTATGAACTCTACCAATATTAATTACCTTTGGAAATCTCGAGTATGCCTTTCTAATCGACTCCTCATAGTCGATGGCTGTTTGGCCAATGTTATTCTTGGCTCTTTGATCTACTCTCTCATCCCAAATCAAGTAACGTGCTATCCAACTTTTTCTTTCTCTGGTAGCCAAGTGCAAAGGTGTGTTTCCATCATTATCTGCCTGGTTTATAAGCCCCTCTAGCTCTGTTGTTTCTAAAACGTACCTAACAACACTTAATTTTCCACCAAGGACTGCAAAGTGAAGAGTGTTTTGGCCTCTTAAATCTAGCAGTTCTCCAGAATCCGGGCAACATTGGATGATCTCTTGGATTATGTTGGTATGGCCTCTGTATGCCGCGACATGAAGTGGTGACAGCCCATCTTGATCGGACATGTATACTATGTCGGTGTGAAGTTGAAGTAATCTTTGAACTGTCCTGTGGTCTCCCATAGATGCTGCGTAGTAGAGTGGGGTTCTACCATGATGATCAGCTTCTTTTATTAGTTCTGGCTTCGCTCTAACAAGGGCTTCCATGGCATCTAAATAACATATAAAATGAAACGGTAAAATGTGGGTTTATTTATGAAATCATATAGTTACGATTATCAAATTGATTTGATATTTTTGATAAACAATCAACATATACCTCAAAGACCAATTAAATGTATCATCAAAATAGGCTCTATAGTAGGCCCACAACTAAAAACTGGATGGTCCAGTCATTTACTGGAGGCAAGCTGCATTCTTGTTTGTTTTTATAATAAATGCATATAAAAAATAAATGAGAGAAGTATAAAATTACCAAAATTCCCCTCTACGATGGTAGCATGCAAAGCTGTTTGGCCATCTGACCCGCCATAAGCCGAATAACAAGCTGCCATCAGTATGCGCTTCACAATTTCCAGCATTCCATCTCTAGCAGCCAGATACAATGGGGATTCACCCGTGTTGTTCTCGAAACAGGCCAGCTCAGGATCAACCTTTATCAAAAACTCAGCCACTCTGAGATTATGGTTCCTCACAGCCTCATGCAAAACTGTGTTGCCCCACTTATTTCTCATCCTCAGAATCTCAGTCTCTCTGTTTCCTCTGTTTTCGATGTCTCCATAAGACAAAGATAACACCTCGTTGACTAGAAAACTAACAATAGAGATGCGGCCAGCTCTCGCAGCGACATGTAGAGGTGTGTCTCCGTCCAAGTTTGGCTGAGCAAGGAGGGACTGCTGCCGATTGTAAATCTCAGCAACAATGTTTTTGTGTCCAAACTGTGTGGCGATATGAAGTGGTGTGTTTTCATGAGGTGTTAGTTTTAGAAGTAGGCTTGGATTTTCATTGAGGAGTTGTTTGAAGTGAAGAATGTCTCCTGATTTTGCTGAGTTGTATAGTCTCTGATCCATGGTGGGTTTTCTAGGAAGCCACTGACATTTGGATTCATGTTGGGTTGGTTTAATTTAAGTTTGTTTTAGTTGCTTATGTATAAAATGTGAACGCATTGATTTGGAATAGTTTGAAGAATATATTAGGTTTTAGACTTGCCGTGTTTTTTTATTTTTACTATTCCATATGATGTAACACATTCAACAAGTTGGTGCAATGAAGTCCAGATCAACCCCATTAACAGTTGTCAATCACCATCTTTAAAAAAAAAAAAAAAAAAAAAAAAAAACAGTTCAAAAAAATTTATATTGTGAATGTGATAGGAGAGATTATAATGGTTGGAGGAGAGAGATTTTTTCATGTTAATCAGTTTATTTTTCATAATCGAATTCATGTTAAAAAATAACCAACTCTAATCCACTAATTTTGTATTTATCAAAAATTCTCACCAGTATACTTTCTAGTATTCAAACTAATTTCAATATCAAAAGTTTTGACTTGTGAGACTTTGAGACCTTGTGTTGTTTTTGATTCATTCAAATTTTTTTTTTTTTTTTTTTTTCAACGGTGGAGTTAATTGAACAGGACGCTTAACTGAAAAATGTCTAATTCCAGTCTAAATATAAATTTGACAAAACAGCGTAAGGCAAACCCCAAATATGGGACGACTTTCAAATTTGTGGTCTACATGATCTGTTTGTTTGTTAAAATAAATGCAAAAACAAAATTTCAACATTATGCCTATTTTTTGGAGAAGAGAAAATATACTACCCGTATTCTATTTTTTAAGTATGTCAAATTATTGTATTCATATTGGATCATATTTGATATATTGTTTATGCACCTAGTGTTGACGTGGCATTTACAATTTTTTAAAAATAATATATAATCACATTATTTTTAAAAATAATATTTTCACACTGTTATATTTTTAAAAATAACAATGGGTTGGAAGAAGCAGAGATGCAGTAAAGATTGAGAGAGCAAGTAGAGATGGAGACCTCAAAACAGCAAAAAATCCTTTTGTCTAGCAATGGAGGCTAAGTTAGATGTAGAGAGCAAAAATAAAAATGGACAAAATAGCTCTTGTGATGCAGAGCCCGTTGGAAGAACAGATAACCAACTGCACTAACAAAAATCCCTCATGTGGTCTTTTTGCCTCCCTCCTTGAGATGCTCCAACATATACTGTTAGTGTATTATAATGTTACTGTCATATATTGATTGGTCTTAAAACTCTGTACATCATAGGATTCTTCTCTCAATCTAAATTTGGAAGGATAGTGCAAAACTTGATTTCTTGGATTGGACTGATAATCGGATTGGATCATGTTGATCCGAATCCAGTCCATTAATAATCGGATTTGTATGCAATTGGATTAGATATTCATTAACGAATTGGAATTTTTGGATCAGATTCAGATTATATATCCGATCCATTGACAGACCTAGGTAGGAGGCATAAGCATATCATCTGATATGTCAAGCCTTTGCCGTTGAGCCAAGTCGCACTTTTAGTTGAATAATTCAAATAATAACATAAATGATTGAAGATTTTTCTCCTTTCCATAATCAATCAATCCCTATCAATCAGTTTTAGCTCTTTGATATTGAAAAGTATTCTAGTTTTCAATAAATTTGCAAGACTACATCAATTGATAAATTTGGTCTTGAGCTTATAGAAAAGACAAGTATTAAACCACTTGAGATGATTGCTTGATAGCAAATGGGCTAACCCTTGAAGTGGTGTGTTTTCATGAGGTGTTAGTTTTAGAAGTAGGCTTGGATTTTCATTGAGTTGTTTGAAGTGAAGAATGTGTCCTAATTTTGCGGAGTTGTATAGTCTCTGATCCATTGTGGGTTTTGTAGTAAGGCAATAAGATTTAGATTAATGTGGGAACGGTTTTATAAGTTTGTCCTTAATAAATTATGTTTGTTATAAAATGTCAGCACATTGCCCCCTAGAGTTTATAATAGTTGATGCCATTATTTAGGTGTAGTTGACTTGGACAAAGTTGCCAGTTGGGCATTTGTCTGGAGGAATTAGACCATCCTCAGTCCTTAAAAATAAAAATTCATCAATTTTATTGAAAATTTTGATTACGAACTTGATTTGATATCAAATACTTCAATCATTTTTTTTCGTCTATGGTTTTGAAAAAAATCCAAACTCGCACTAAGAACTTGTTTTAATCAAATTTAAAACCATCTCAAATCCTAACTTCTCCTTTTTTTAAAAAATATATATTTATATATTTAATCAAATTTAAGTAAAAATATGGCTATTGAAAATTTGGTAAAAGATTTGGTTCATCATTGATTTGATGAAAAAATTGTCTTTCCCTCGATTTGATTTGGAATCGATGAACTGGTTAGAGTACATTTTTAGCATTTTTTTTACCAAATTTAAATCTAATGAAACAATTGATGAAGGATTGAAAATGCTCGCCCGAGGGATGCAGATTAGATTAGGGGAAGTGTGGAGCTTGCTATTTAGATTTTGTCTCCAATTCTACTCAATTCAACATGTATTTGGACAGGTTTGCAATTATGTCTACATTATTGTTAATCCTCAATACGGTGAACTACTAAATCTCATTCCTTGGAATCTTCCCAATACAATCCAATGGCCATAAATAATCCTTCAAATCTTATCTTATATATCTTTCACTCTGCATTAATCAAACAAGGGATGGTATTCAAAATTTCAAACTAGCTAGCTGGTCTAATCATGATATTCTATCAGAGCCCGAGTAACGATGTTGGTGAAAAGCTTCATAAGTTATATGCAAGTATACTCTTTCAGATTTTGTTGAAGGCTCTTAGGCGGTTAGTCATTTAGGGACACGGGTATGGGAGCATCTGAGGTTTGAGACTTGTTTATGTTTCATTCATTCTTGAAGTTCTTTAATGGTGTGGTTCATTCTGAAAATGTTATTAATTCCAGTCAAAGTGAACTTTTAAACAGCAAGTAGTCAATATTAAGATTAAGAGGAAAAAAAACATTCATAGTCCTCTTTGGCTTCTACAAAAAAATGGGGCGGTAGAGTCATTATTATCTCCGACCGAATAGAAAAATTGGACCTGACTGGCCGTAGAAATCGCTGAAACAAAATCAATTTGAGATATATGCATATTTGCTGGAGATGTTATTCATCTTCTGACAAATTTGGTCTTGATCCGACAAAGCATATAAATCAAGAACTGAAAAACATTGAATAAGGGAAAGATTTGCACGAATAGGTAAAAAAGAAGAAAGTTTCCAACTTGGAAAACTAAACCTATTATAAGACACATGATACGAACAAAATTCTGATTGGGCATAACAGCAATCAATCCTGTCGTGAAGGCGATACCAGTTGAAGACAGTGCAATATGTGTTAGCATAGTGGCACTAGCAAAGTAGTAAAAGTAGTTTTCTTTAGCAATAACAGCTCCCCAGAAGAGTATGCAAGCTACAACCACAGAGCTGCTCATAGCGATGGAGTCCGAAACAAGGAACCATTTAAGGCATGCACTCGATTGCAGAAGAGCTTGCCCTTGATCGGGGTCAACGTTGTTATTGAAGCCTCCGGGAATTGTGAAAGCAGCTGCAAATGTGACAGTGGCGATTAGTGTGGCGACCATTAAGAGGGTGTGACCCATTTGCTTGTAAGTTCTCATTTTGTCGACAGTTGCTACTCCGTCCTCGATTGTGTTTGGGGAAATGTTTTCTCTGGTGATCCATGAATTCTGGGACCAAGGTTGTCTCCAAATTCCTGTAGTCTAGACAAAATACAAAGATGACCATGAGTATGATGCCATTCACCTTCATAATTACGGCTGCAAGTGAACAAAACTTTATTAGAGTTAGCGAACTGAGCTGAGATTGAGCAAGAGCTAGATTTTTGAGCTCAATAAACAGACAAGCTCTTGTCAGCTCATTTGCAGCCTTATTTGTAATGCATACTTTTTGTACCTAGTAATGGAACGTGCAAACAATAAAATAAAATTGGGAATAAGATTCTCTCCAATCCACTAGTGCAGTTTGGGCCAGTTGGCTAATCACAGGTCCACCCTTGTAATCGAAGTTGTTCATATTGTGAGTCTGTAGATCATCCCTACAAAAATCATATTGTTTTGATAATTGTAACCAAATGATTTTACCTTGTTTGTATTTAGAAAAAAATGGACGATAATTATGATTTCAAAAATAAACCATTGTCATTCATTTTTTTAAATACAAATATGATAAAATCATGAAAGTACAATTATCGGATCAATTTGAATTTTTTTTTTTCTTACAGAGATGACTAGGCTGTGGTGAATCCCACAAACCTAACCGGATGCTCCAATTTACTTTTGTTGACTGGTGAGAAGCCTCTCCCTAAAAAATTAATGTACCTAACGAAAGACTTACAGAAAATAAATTATAAACTCGACCTATATAATTACCATTGGAAATCTCAAGTATGGCTCTGTACTTGACTCATTGTTGATGGCTTTTTGGCCAATGTTGTTTTTGGCTCTTCGATCTACTCTATCATCCCACATCAAATAACGTGCTATCCAACTTTTTCTTTCTATGGTAGCCAAGTGTAGGGGTGTGTTTCCATCATCATCAGCTTGGTTTATAAGCCCTTCAAGCTCTGTTGTTTCTAAAATGTACCTAACCACACTTAATTTTCCACCTAGGACAGCAATGTGAAGAATGTTTCGGCCTCTCAAGTCCAACAATTCTCCAGAATCCGGGCAATATCGAATGATCTCTTTAATTATATTGGTATGGCCTCTATACGCTGCAACATGAAACGGTGATAGGCCCTCTTTATCGGACATGTATGCTATGTCGGTGTCAAGTTGAAGTAATCCTTGAACTGTCCTGTGGTCTCCCATGGATGCTGCGTAGTAGAGCGGGGTTCTACCATGGTGATCGGCTTCTTTGATTAGTTCTGGTTTTGCTCTTACAAGGGCTTCAATGACATCTAAATGACACATAAAAAGGAAGCTTGATTATGAACAGAACTAAATACAATTAAAACCATGAAAACTAAGAGTTTGTCAAAATTCTTAGCAAATGCTAACAATTTGGTTAAATGAGACAACATGAAAACTTGAAGGGCAAAATTGAAGCAATTAAAACCACAGGGACTGAATTGACACGAGACAAATTACAGTGACTACCAATAAAATTTGCCCTATAATTTTTGGATTAGAATAACATTACTCATTCATTTTTCTTTTTTTGATAATAAATGCATATAAAAAAAGAGATAGGAGAAAGAACAAGATTACCAAAATGCCCCTCTGCGATTGCAGCATGCAAAGCTGTCTGACCATCTGATCCACCATAAGCAGAAGATCGAGCTGCCATCAACAAAAGATTGACAATTTCCAGCATTCCATCTCTAGCAGTCAGATACAAGGGGGACTCACCCATGTTATTCTCAAAACAGGCCAGCCCAGGATCAACCTTCATCAAAAACTCAGCCACTCTGATACTATGGTTCCTCACAGCCTCATGCAAAACTGTGTTGCCCCACTTATTTCTCATCCTCAGAATCTCAATCCCTCTGTTTCCTTTGTTTTCGATGTCTCCATAAGACAAAGAAAACATCTCGTTGACTAGAAAACTAACAATGGAGATGCGGCCAGCTCTCGCAGCGACATGTAGAGGCGTGTCTCCGTCCAAGTTTGGCTGAGCAAGGAGGGACTGCTGCCGACTGTAAATCTCAGCAACAATGTTTTTGTGTCCAAACAGTGTGGCGATATGAAGTGGCGTGTTTTCATGAGGTGTTAGTTTTAGAAGTAGGCTTGGATTTTCATTGATTAGTTGTTTGAAGTGAAGAATGTGTCCTGATTTTGCTGAGTTGTATAGTCTCTGATCCATGGTGGGTTTTCTAGGAAGCCAGTGACATTTGGATTCATGTTGGGTTGGTTTAATTTAAGTTTGTTTTTATTGCTTATGCATAAAATGTGAACGCATTGACCCGCTAGTTTGAAGAATATATTAGATTTTAGACTTGCCGTGGTTTTTTTAAGTTTTACTTTCTCATATGATGTAACACATTCAACACGTTGGTGCAATGAAGTCCAGATCTGTTGAAGATTGGCTCTAATTCACTTTGTCAACAATAGCTGCTGATTGTTGATTGAAGACAAATGAAGAAGCTGAAGATTTGGGCTAAAGATTCAGCCGAGCTGATCTTCAGATCTTGTTGGTGGCTGCCATAAATGTTGTCTGTTAACATATAATATACACATAATATATCCCCCACTATGTATAGCTATAGCTTTGCATCTGTAAAGGCAACCTTGCATCTGTAAAGGCTCCATGTGTAGCTGTAAAGTCCAGGCATCCAATGCTAATTGTCTCCCTCTCCTCTCTATAAAGAGAGGGAGCTTGCTCTCTTGTAATTACACTGAAACATAATACAATAACACCAACTTTCAGTTCCTCTCTCTCCCTCGTTACCACACTCACATTGTCGATGGCTTGTTGAAGACTTTGGCTCTCCTATTGCATCTATAAATGGTTAGTGAATGGGAGGGGTTCAGTGTGGCAATCAGAAGAGAGCGTAATCAGGGTGTAAGCAACTGAGTGAGTAGAGTGAGAATATTGTCTTCTCCTCCGTTGTTTTAATCTTTGTGTTTCTCTCTATATAATGAAATCCACTGCCCGTGGACGTAGGCGTATTGCCGAACCATGTAAATCTTTGTGGGTTTATGTGTGATTGTTTTCTGCCAACAAGATCAACCTCATTAATAGTTGTTGATCACCATCTTTTTTTTTTAAAAAAAAAAGGTTAAAAAAAATTATATTGTGAATGTGATTGTAGAGATTATAATGGTTGTAAGAGAGATAAATTTTTCATGTTAATCCGTTTATTTTTCATAACCGGATTCATGTTAAAAAATAACCAACTCTAATACACTAATTTCGTATTTATCAAAAAAATTCAGCAGTATACTTTCTGGTATTCAAACTAATCCAATGTCAAAAGTTTTGACTTGTGAGACTTTGAGACCTTGTGTATTTTTGATTCATTCAATTTTTTTTTTTCAACGGTTTAGTTAACTGAACACGGACTCTGCACTGAAAAATGTATAATTCCAGTCAAAATATATAAATTTGACAAAACAGAGTAAACCAAACCCCAAATGTGATGACAATTCACATTTGTGGTAGAGGATCTGATTGTTACCTACTCATTTTATGGGAAAGTCTATAGTTCATTTTGTTCAAAAAATGTACGGTACATGAAAAATCAATGGCTAGGATTGAGCCACATCATTAAAAGTGACCTGCTAAACAGGTCACTTTTTATAGTTATGAGTTAAAATCATATTTTTTTATAACTATAATCAAATTGATCATAACTTAGTTATAACCACATCTCATAACCAACACCATTTTGTTCATAACTAATATCACATATTTCATAATCATAATCACATATCTCATAACCAACACCACTTTAAACATAACAAATATCACACATCGCATAACCATTGATCACATATCTCATAACTACTACCCACATAAATCATAACCACATCTCATAACTAATCCCTTTGAGTCATAACCAACATCACATATCTCATAACCACTAGTCACATATCTCGTAGCTAATACCTTTTTGTCATAACCAACATCACATATCTCATAACCACTAATCACATATCTTATAATTAACACCTTTTTACTCATAACTACACCACTTTGATCATAACCAACATCACATATCTCATAACTACTAGTTACATATCTAATAACCAACATCACATATCTCATAACCACTAGTTACATAACCAATATCTTATAACTCATAACCATTAATACATATAGCATAACCTCATCCTTTGACACCACTTTGCTCATAATCATTACCCACATATCTCATAACCACTAACACATATAGCATAACTAAACACCCTTTGACATCACTTTGCCCATAATAATTACCCACATATCTCATAACCACTAGCACATATAGCATAACCAAATACCCTTTGACACCACTTTGCTCATAACCATTACCCACATATTTCATAACCACTAACACATATAGCATAATCAAACACCTTTTGACACCACTTTGCTTATAACCATTACCCACATATCTCATAACCACTAACACATATAGCATAACCAAACACTCTTTGACACCACTTTACTCATAACCATTAACCACATATCTCATAACCAACATCACATATATCATAACTACTAATCACATTTCTCATAACCAAACACCCTTTGACTTGTAACTATACCATTCTGCTCATAACCAAAATCGCATATCTTATAATCACTAATCATATATCTCATTACCTTTACCCACATATGTTATAACCACATCTCATAACCAGCACCTTTTGTTTCATAATCAATATCACATATATCATAACCACTAATCATATATCTCATAACCACTACCCACATATAGGGATGTAAATTTGGCCCATGAGCTCGCGGCACACCCCAAGTCTACTCGTGTCCTAGGTAGGCCCAACTAGGCTTGAGGCTAAACCCAACCTAAGATATGTGTTCTAGAGCCCGGCCCGACCCTGGTGTGTTATGGAGTGTGACCCATCTCGTGAGCTCGTCCTGAAATTTTCTTCCCCATCTGGCTCGACCCGACTCCAATGGTTCCCTACCCCCTTTGTCAGTGCAATGGTAAAAAATTTAAATCAAAACAATTTGAAAGAATCATATAACCGTTAATTCCACCAACAATCAATTTTTATTTTATTTTATTATATATATATATATATA